CACACACACACACACACACACACACACACACACAATCACACACACACACACACACACTCTCTCTCTCTCTCACACACACACACACACACACACACACTCACACACACAGAGAGAGAGCGAGTGGATGGCATGCAGCCAGATCCAGCAGTCTGAATGAACCCAATATCTCGCTCATGGTCACATGATCTGGGGGCCTGAGGCCCTTCGCTCGCCATCCCACCCTGATTAAAGTAATTCATGATTCCGCTACCGTTTGTAAACTCAGGCTCCATTCAATGCAAATGAGAGACACGCGGTCACTCAGGCGGTTATATGAGGAGGATATGTGTGGATAAAACGTCATTTACAGACTCATACAAAACACTAAAGCACAGAAGCAGCTCTGCCACGTTTAATATTATGCTTGACTCTACACTGTAAAGTTTCCAGGAGCGAGCAGAAGTGCCATCTCTCCAATCAGACTAAAACAAGCAGGCAAGGCCAGTCATATGATGGGATTTGAACTCATCACACACAATACGCTTGACTGTGTCTGAGCGAGTTTCTGCATTCTTGGCATTCTGCATGTTACTGGTGGCACATTTGCGTCAGCGGGACCCGAAGGAACTCAAAGACATCTCGCGGAAGAATGTAAAACATTCCCTCAGCATCTTCCAGCAGCTTCATCCCTCATCCGCCCACAGCTCACATGACAGAGACGCTCAGGACTACAGGAGGAAGACTAGTGTTCCAGGCAGAGCTTGATGGGCTCTGTTATAAATGCTCAGAAATTACACAGAACCTGTCAAAAGTTTGGACACACTTTACCGATTCTAAAAACCGTTTGATCTATCTATCTATCATAAATACATACATCAAAAATTTTGATTTTAAAATCTTTTTTTTATTTTATATATCTATATGCTTATTTAATATATATGTTTCCTTGTTTTATCTTAGTACATCAAAAATGTATACAAATTAGCATTTTGTAAATATATAAGTTTTTAAAATATTTTATATATATATATATATATATATATACAGAGAGAGAGAGAGAGAAATAACCTATAATACATCTATTAAATATATCTTTCTGTATGTTTTATCTTTAAATAGTACATCAACAATTGATAATAAAAACTTATATTTTGTAAATATATAAGCGAAAATTAATTTTTATGTACTATTTAAATATTATGTACTTTATTAAATTATATATATATATATATAATGATTATGTATTTTTATTTATTTTTGTCTGTAAATAGTTCATCAAAAAATCAACGAAAACTTTCTATATATACATACACATGTAAGAATTTATTTATACACACATGTAATATTTTAATATACACACGTTTTTATGTACTATTTGAACTTTATGAAGTTGCGTTACGTGTTTAGATCACTAAATGATTCCTATATTTCCATTTGTGTGATTTCATAGATTAATTGACTTCACTATTACTCTAAAATGTGAAAATCGAGCAGAACGAGTAGCTGTGTGTGTGTGTGAGTAAACTCTGGTACTGTACACCCAACGCTCCACATAACCTATAATCAAAAACAATCAAGAATCAAAGACTAAACCAGCCTGAAGTACACAAGACCCATCATGATTAGATGAAGTCACAGCACAGAACCACAAACCAGCTAAAGCAGCGCTTGTGAGTGTTTACAGTCAGATATCCTCTCATTATACTGTCAGCATCTTCAGCTCCAGTCATGGGACATCTGACAGTCCATCCATACCAGCCTCTCTACAGACAGACTTTAGCAGTACCATTCATCTATCCAGTAATCCATTCATTCCTTTCCATATTACTCCAATGCTCTTCCAAGAATAGCACGGCACGTGTCAAAACAACATGGTAGTGCTGTGATCATTTGTGCTTTAGACATAAACACAAGCACCTCAGATTACAGTGTGATCAAATATGAACAGCAAGATACAGACACACCGTCTCTCAGTCCGTTAGGCACATGTCGTTTGTAAACACAGCAGGACAGTCCCGTACAGACAGCGGGAGGTATAGAGAGCGGCAGAGAAACATTGTAACATTCGAATGTTGCAACATTTAAACATTGTAGCGTTGGGCCTGCGCGTGCGCGCTTAAGGTGACACAAAAAGTAACAACTGACAGCTGAATAAAGAGCCGAATAAAGACACTCCTGCGCTTCCTAAACTAGAGACGACCGCTTTAACCAGCAGCTAAACTAGTACTTTCATTCACTCCGGGTGGAGCGCTTTCATTTGACAGCTAGAGTCTTTTATTTTAGGCCTCCGAGAGAGAAATAACCGCATCCTATTGAGCAGCAGAGCTTCAATAACTGCCATCAAACTGAATGGAGAGAGACTTTACCGAGACGGGTTTCACTGAGGGCTCCGGCGCATTGCTGTGGAGGAGCTCGCTGCTTCGGGTGCTACTTTAATCCCGCAGAAAACAGGTAAAAGTGTTTTGATGAGCACGAGCGTGTCCTCGCCTCTCCTCCACTACACTCCCCACAGCGAGAGACTCCTGCCTGCGGAGAGAGTCCGGAGAGAGCGGCGCGCTGGGTCCTAGAGCCCACCTATACCAACACTACACTACAGTGACTACACTACACTACACTGACACTACACTACAGTGACTACACTACACTGACACTACACTACAGTGACTACACTACACTGACACTACACTACAGTGACTACACTACACTGACACTACACTACAGTGACTACACTACACTGACACTACACTACAGTGACTACACTACACTGACACTACACTACAGTGACTACACTACACTGACACTACACTACAGTGACTACACTACACTGACACTACACTACAGTGACTACACTACACTGACACTACACTACAGTGACTACACTACACTGACACTACACTACAGTGACTACACTACACTGACACTACACTACAGTGACTACACTACACTGACACTACACTACAGTGACTACACTACACTGACACTACACTACAGTGACTACACTACACTGACACTACACTACAGTGACTACACTACACTGACACTACACTACAGTGACTACACTACACTGACACTACACTACAGTGACTACACTACACTGACACTACACTACAGTGACTACACTACACTGACACTACACTACAGTGACTACACTACACTGACACTACACTACAGTGACTACACTACACTGACACTACACTACAGTGACTACACTGCAATACACTGACACTACACTACACTACACTACAGTCACTACACTACACTGACACTACACTACACTACAATGACTACACTACACTACACTATACTACAATAGAATACACTACACTACAATACATTACACTACACTACACTGACACTACACTACAATACATACACTGACACTACACTACAATACACTACACTACACTATAATACACTACAATACAATACACTACACTACACTACACTACACTATAATACACTACACTACAATACAATACAATACACTACACTACAATACACTTCAATACACTACACTACAATACATTACACTACATTACACTACACTATAGTATACTGACACTACACTACAATACAATACAATACACTACACTACAATACACTTCAATACACTACACTACAATACATTACACTACATTACACTACACTATAGTATACTGACACTACACTACAATACAATACAATACACTACACTACAATACACTTCAATACACTACACTACAATACATTACACTACATTACACTACACTATAGTATACTGACACTACACTACAATACAATACAATACACTACACTACAATACACTTCAATACACTACACTACAATACATTACACTACATTACACTACACTATAGTATACTGACACTACACTACAATACAATACAATACACTACACTACAATACACTTCAATACACTACACTACAATACATTACACTACATTACACTACACTATAGTATACTGACACTACACTACAATACAATACAATACACTACACTACAATACACTTCAATACACTACACTACAATACATTACACTACATTACACTACACTATAGTATACTGACACTACACTACAATACAATACAATACACTACACTACAATACACTTCAATACACTACACTACACTACAATACACTACACTACGCTATAGTACACTGACACTACACTACACTACACTGACACTACACTACAATACACTACAATACACGACACTACACTGACACTACACAACACTACAATACACGACACTACACTACACTACAATACACTACACTACACTGACACTACACTACAATACACTACACTACACTACAATACACAACACTGACACTACAATACACTACAATACAATACACTACACTACACTGACACTACACTACAATACATACACTGACACTACACTACAATACACTACACTACACTACACTGACACTGCACTACACTACAATACATAACACTACACTACCCTACAGTACACTGACACTACACTACCCTACACTACAATACAATACACTACAGTACACTGAAAATTACACTGACACCACACTACACTACAATACACTACACTACACTACAATACACAACACTACACTACAATAAACTACAATACAATACACTACACTACAATACACTTCAATACACTAC